AGCCAGCGGCCCACCGTACAATGCTACAAAACATGCATGTTTTTGTGCACCAGTCGAGGATAAACTCGAGTCTAGTCTGCGGCAAAGGACCCATATATGCAACCACGACACCACTGGTGCTCCCTCAGACAAACCTATTACGGGCACCAGAGGGGCATACCCATATACCTAGGTATATAGAACACGTGATTCTGTGCACATTGTATGTCTGCATGTGTGTAACTCTTGATATAGTTGTGTGCAGTCGTCGTAGTCCCGACGTTAGACGGACGACGTTTAGTCGTTCCGTCGTCGGGACGGAGACCTTAGGCTGCGGGGGGCGTCCGCGTGTCCGTCCGTCCAGGTTGACGTTTGGTAAGTTGCCGTTTTTCGTCTTTTTGTCCGCGGTTTCGGAGCTGCGTCGTTTTCGCTAGCTCCGTCGCCGCGTGGGAGCCGCGGTCGCCGGTTCGCGCCCCACCGTCGCCGCTTTTTTTCGTTTTTTCGCACCGCACCGCACCGCGCCGCACCACACCGCATCGCACCGCACCACACCTGGGCCCGCGGAAGGCGCCCCGGAGCATGGCCGTGCGCCGCTTCGTCGGGCGCGCTAGCTCTGACGTCGAGTGGGAGCCGTAGTCGCCGGTTCGATCCCCGCGCCGGCGCGTCGTTTCATCCGCTTTTACGTTGCGGCTCGCTGGCTTCGTCGCCTATTCTTCTATTTTTCGTTCGGGAGCGCTGCCTTCGTCGTCGCGTGGTTCGTTTTTCGCGTCGTCGTCATTTATTGTTCATTTCTTTTCGTTCTGGACCGTGCACCGGACACCGCGTCGTCCCGGACTGCACTGCTCCACGCCTGGGCCCGTGCAATGCGCCCCCGAGCATCGCCGTGCACCGCTTCGGTGTCCGCGCCGCACCGCACTGCACCGCGTTGCACCGCACCGCGCCACACTGCGTGTGGCAGTGCATCGCACCGCACCACACCTGGACCCGCGCAATGCGCCCCGGAGTATCGGCGCTCACTGCTTGTGGTGTGCGCTAGCTCCGACACTGAGTGGGAACCGCGGTCGCCGGCTCGATCCCGGTGCATGAGTTTCTTTTTGTTTTTTCGTTCGGGACCGTTTACCGCACCGCACCGCACTCCACCACGATTTAACGCGCAAATCGCAAAACATTGCCTGCACCGCACTGCGCAATTTGACATGTGCCGACTCGCGCATTTTAACGCGCAACCCACCACACAACTCGACGTGCAATTAAACATGCAATTCAACGCGCAATTTAATGTACACCAAACCACGCAATTTGACGCGCACTGAACTGTGCAGTGCTTGTCCAACGTTGTCCGTGTAGGCTGTACGGCATTTTGTGAAGCTGTTTTGTTCATGGACGTTGCCTCGCTACAATATAATTGCACCGCATATATACGCATCCGGTTTACTTATTTTCAGATACGGTTGCTTTAAAGCTGGCGGTTGTAGACTAGTTGCGCTGCCGACATAAGCTGCGCGGTATTTCGCGAAGCTGGCCTCTTTACATGCATCGGCTCGCTAACCGATTTTTGCCAGACGACAACATCTCGGCACATCAACGGTTGTTCATCGCCATCGATGGCTATTCATCGCCATCCTCATCTGCACATCCTACACGATACAAGGTCAGTCCACGTTGCAAAGCAGTAGCAATGAATAGAAACAACGAATAGCAGTGAGTAGAAACGATAGCAAGAATAGCAAGGAATAGAAACACAACGCGCACCGAAGTGTGATGTGCAACACAACCTGACCCACGGGACAGTTTGCGCACTCGGTCGTGTTCGCTGGGTCGTGTACCGCGTTTTTTTTATTTCCATTGAGACCGCGCACCCCACCAGCTATGTCTCGGCTCGTCGTGCTTCGTCGTGCTGTATCATCGTGCTATCTCTGTCACCGTGTGGGAGCCGCAGTCGCCGGCTCGATCCCACGACAACATCTCGGCACATCAACGGTTGTTCATCACCATCGATGGCTATTCATCGCCATCCTCGTCTGCACGTCCTACACGATACAAGGTCAGTCCACGTTGCAAAGCGGTGGTGGCGGTGGTGGCAGTGGTGGTGGTGGCGGTGGTGGCGGTGGCGGTGGTGTTAAATACTGGATGGCGTTAAATACGACATTTCCTGCAAGGTCTCCATAGTCACGCACGGTAAGTGTTCACCGCTTTTTTGGCCTTCCTTCCTTCGGTGCACCACACTGCACCGCATGGATTGCACCGCGTCTTTATGTGTCAGCACATTACTCAAACATACTAAGCCACACTACGTCGGACTCGTGCCGTCCAGCCGGGGGACTACGGCCCCCTCGCGGGCGAAGCAGCCCGCGTCTAGTCCGTCCGTCCGTCCGTCCATCCGTCCGTCCGTCCGTCCGTCCATCCGTCCGTCCGTCCGTCTGTCCCTCCGTCTGTCCACAGAGTCTTCGGTTCGATTCGACCCTCGCCGCGTTTTTTTTTTCCTGTTAATGCGACCACACGGTTTTGCGTTGTTCGTGTTTCATATCTGTCTCTCATGATCATGCATCCGCGCATCAGCATTACAGTATGCTGCGGCACGGTGGCCAGCCGTCCAGCGATCGCACTTTGCAGGTTGCCCTTTATGCACTTAGCTTTGTTCCGTGTGCACGTTCACTTGCGCATGTCTGACTTTGTTTTGTGCACGTCTCCGGCTGAACTTTGGGCGCTAATCGTGCCTTGCTCTTCGTCCGCAGCCTTGCTCTTCGGCAGCCAGCTGGAACGTCCACGTTTGTTGTGTGTCCGGCTTTTCGCGTTCCGCATTGGCCTTTGCGTTTCCGGGCTTTTTGCGCTCGACTTTTCGCAATAGAGCATGCTCGTAGCCGACCGCCCTGAAATCCAGCTGTCGACCGTTTGCAGTCGATAATTACGGCCCAGCGCGATGCTGGTCCATTAACTGCATCAACTGCTAGCTTGGGAGGCTAGGCTTTGCGAGATTTAGTTTGTTCCGCCTTGGACCTTGCTATACTTTGTGTTCTGGGCTTTGCAGTTCTGTATTTGTACCACGCTGCTCTTTACGCAACTCTTGTGCTTTGCGCGATACAATTCCTTGCGCATCTAGCTTCGCAAGTTGAGCTTCGCATGCTGGGCTTTGTGTATTCGGCTGCTCTTCGACTCTGCGCGTTCGATATACAAATTAATAACCTCCGTACTAAGCCGTGCTCGCAATTCGACCCAACCGACTGCAACGTTCACGCCTCGGCTTTGCGGTCCTATTTCTGCATTTTAAGCTTTATGAGCATAGCTTTGTTCCGTATTCGACTTTGCACGTTCAACCGCGCATGTTCGCGGGAGTCGTAGTTGTCCTATTGCAAGCACGCGCCAAGGTTCGCCCAAGGTCGGTTACACCTGGCGAATGAAATCCGATCGGGTCGTGAGAACAAAGTTGCGTCACCTCAAGGTTGCGCAGGCGTACGTGCGCTGTAAAAAGTATAAAACCCAGGCCTGCCTGGAATGTAGAGCATTGTGTCCTCCCTCAATTACGACTTCTGCCTACTGAAACTTTTACGTTCCTCTCGCCAACATGGGACCCAAGTGAGTTGCTCCTCGCTGCGCCCGCTGTTTACTATTAAGTAGTCGGTACTCTCTGTTCACTGCGCTCGTTATACCGCAGGCGCCTTGCCACTATAGATCCGCCTTCTCCGCTGCCGGCGAAACAGCCGCACCAAGAAACAACCACGCCGGGAAGTACGCCTGAAGCCACCGCGAGCTCGGCATCAACCGCAACTCCGACTAGCCCTGCTTCCTGCAGTGCCCCCGCTTCGAGGTAAGGCTTAGACATTGCAATCGAGTTCAATGCTAGATGTGTTTCGTTTTGCGGTTGTGTTTGCGTCTCTGCGCTTCGTGCAGTGCTCGCGCTTCAAGGTAAGACTTAGACGTTGTAGCCGGGCTCCTTGCGAGCCGTGCTTCGTTGTGCGTTTGCGTTTGCGGCTGTGCCGCTGTCTTGAAGTGTCTGTAATATAATCTCGCCTTGTACACATTTGATGCATTGGCTTTGCCGACTACCGGCTGTGCGATTCAACTGTTGCGTTTGGTCGTTGTGGACTTCATGCATGAACGACGCGGCCTGCTCTGCGCTGAAATGTGTTGGACGTCTTAAATTCATTTGCTGTTTGCGCCGTTTGGATCCGGTACTTTCGTTCTGCTCTCTTTATATGAATCTTGTACTGCTCGACCCGCCAATATAGTCTTCTTTACGTAAGCAGTCGGGCTAGTACTTGGACCTTGCTCTGCTAGTACAAATAAAAGACCTACATCTCTCTCCGTCCGTCCGTCTGTGTATAAAAGTAACCTACTTCGGTGATCTTCTTAGCGCGTATATGTCTTAGACGTTTTCTGTCTTGTAGCTTCAATTCAAGCTCGTACCTTTAATATCGCCCATCCGACGTACGACCCCGACAGTATCTCGGTAAGCTTTCAGCTTACCTTTACGGCCGGGCCCGTGCAAGTCGGCGTCGGCCGCCTGTGGAGCGGGCTGAGGTGCAACACTGCGACCATCGTGGGTGGCCCGGCAGCAAATGGTATTGTCCTCGTTCAGACTGACGGTGCCATCCTAGCTAGTCTCCAGGCGAATAAGTGCTATGGATCCGTAGTAGACTTTACGCACGTTCGGTCGGCAATTTTGCCGCCTCACGTCGTCAGTCGCTTTGCGGGCGTTTTGGTAACCACTTTTAAGACCACCAGCATGAGCGAACTGAAGTATACTCAAGCTAGGCGCATGTGGAGTACCCTTACGGCCCGCCTGCGGTTGCCTACTTTGAACCCGTATATGAAGCCACCGTTAAATGAGGCCAGCTATTCAAATGACGGCAGCACGCTCCTTGTTTTGCCGTTTGGGGAACCCTTCGTCAGCGGGCCGTTCCAAAAGATCAGCGCATACGTAGCTTGTACTGACATAAACGACGTCCGGGTTGGGGAGGTTCACCTTGCGTACGATCCGGACACCCCGCCGGTTTATTGCCATCTTGTCAGTGACGCCGGCAGCAGCAGCATTCCGCTCTACCTTTTTGGTGCCAAAATAAGTGGCGCTAATTCGCAGTATAGTCCAACCGTGTGGATAAACGGCACACTCACTGCTGCGGCAGTCTGACCCGGTCAGGACATACGCAGTTTCCCTGCTCATGTGCGCGCGTTCATCAGCGCTACGCAGCAGCATGCGCAGCAATCGGCAGTATCCGAGACTAGCAGCATGTTGTTGGCATGGGAGCAGCGTGAGTGGCCTGGGAGTATCACGACCCTGCCGCAGGACGGCGCCCATGCTCGCGCTAGCCTGTCCCCCAACCCCAGCGTTAGCTGCGTCATCAACGACCGCAAAGTCCTGCCACTTATATTGACGGTCAATCAGCAGCAGTACCCGGTATGCACCAACAGCCCGGATGTGTTGCGCCAGCTCCCTGGATTCTTTACGGACCTGTCGTATGATGACGTTGAACTCCGGTCCGCGTTTTGTGCGTCACGGCCATTCAGCATCGTCGGCACAGCAACTACTCACACCATCGGGCGCATCACTTTTGTCACCGCCTTCCAACAATAGCTGCAGCGCGTATGGCGCCTACACTGCGGGATCGACTCTGATATCTGCGGGCTGTGCAGGCCGCATGCGTGTCGGATATTGTATTTCGACCTCCTTTTTGTTTTTTACATGTGTGCGGACGCACAGTTGACGCCCTCTGGTTTGGCTGTTGATCTTTTATGCCTGTTTTTTTGTTTCCTGTTTGACTTACTGTCTCCGGATTTGCTGCCGGCGCGAAGCATTGTAGTTGCCGCGCTTAGTTTTGGACGATTATAGTTGCATTGTTTGATATTCACGGTGTACTCTTCGCTGTTTGAGACTCATTACGTCCGTTCGGAGGATTGCGGCTTCTGCGCCTTACTTTGTACGTTTCGATTTAACGTGTTCGTTCGACTATACGTGTGGATCGTTGCGTGCTCCTGCGTTGACCTGCATTTTATAGTTTGTCCTGTACGTTGAACTGCAGCGTCATAATTTGGGCATCTACCTCTTTGGGCATCTAGCCGTAGCTCCTACGAAGTAGGAAAGCGGAGGCCTTAGGCCGATTCGCTGTCCCTCCGTCCCTCCGTAGCCGTAGCGACTACGTAGTAGTCTAGCGGAGGCCTTAGGCTGAGGCAGCCGTCCGTCCGTCGTCGTAGTCCCGACGTTAGACGGACGACGTTTAGTCGTTCCGTCGTCGGGACGGAGACCTTAGGCTGGGGGGGGCGTCCGCGTGTCCGTCCGTCCGGGTTGACGTTTGGTAAGTTGCCGTTTTTCGCCTTTTTGTCCGCGGTTTCGGAGCTGCGTCGTTTTCGCTAGCTCCGTCGCCGCGTGGGAGCCGCGGTCGCCGGTTCGCGTCCCGTCGTCGCCGCTTTTTTTCGTTTTTTCGTTCGGCGCGCCGCGTCGCACGTGGATTGCACCGCATTCGCACCACACCTGGGCCCGCGCAAGTCGCCCCAGAGCATGACCGTGCGCCGCTTCGACGGGCACGCTAGCTCCGACGTCGAGTGGGAGCCGCAGTCGCCGGTTCGATCCCGGCGTCCGCGCGTTTTTTTGTCCTTTTTTACGTTACGGATCGCCAGCTTCGTCGCCCGGCGCCTGCACGTTTCTTTCTTCTATTTTTCGTCCGGGAGCGCTGCCTTCGTCGTCACGTGGTTCGTTTTTCGCGTCGTCGTCGTTTATTGTTATTTTCTTTTCGTTCTGGACTGTGCACCGCATCGCGTCGTCCCAGAGTGCACTGCTCCACGCCTGGGCCCGCGCAATGCGCCCCCGAGCATCGCCGTGCACCGCTTCGTTGTCCGCGCCGCACCGCACCGCACGGCATTGCACCGCACCGCGCCACACTGCGCGGGCACTGCACCGCACCGCACCACACCTGTGGCCGCGCGATGCGCCACGTTGCATCGGGGCGCACCGCTTGTGGTGTGTGTGCTAGCTCCGACGCCGAATGGGAGCCGCGGTCGCCGGCTCGATCCCTGCGCATGAGTTTTTTTGTTTGTCTCGTTTGGGACCGCGCACCGCGCTGCACCGCACTGCACCGCACCGCACCGCACCGCACCGCACCGCACCGCACCGCACCGCACCGCGATTGAACGCGCGAATCGCAAAACAGCGCAAATCGCAACACATTGGCCGCACTGCACTGCGCAATTTGGCATGTGCCGACTCGCGCGTTTTAACGTGCAACCCACCACACAACTCGACGTGCAATTAAACGTGCAATTCAACGCGCAATTCTACGTGCACAGAACCACGCAATTTGACGCGCACTGAAGTGTGCAGTGCTTGTCCAACATTGTCCGTGTAGGCTGTACGGCATTTTGTGAAGCTGTTTTGTTCACGAACGTTGGCTCGCTACAATATAATTGCACCGCATATATACGCATCCAGTTTACTTATTTTCATATACGGTACCGCGGCTGAGCGGTTGCTTTAAAGCTGGCGGTTGTAAACTAGTCGCGCCGCCAACATAAGCTGCGCGGTATTTCGTGAAGCTGGCCTCTTTACGTGCATCGGCTCGCTAACCAATTTGCGCCAGACGACAACATCTCGGCACATCATCGGTTGTTCATCGCCATTGATGGCTATTCATCGCCATCCTCGTCTGCACGTCCTACACGATACAAGGTCAGTCCATGTTGCAAAGCAGTAGCAACGAATAGAAACGACGAATAGCAGTGAGTAGAAACGATAGCAAGAATAGCAAGGAATAGAAACGCAACGCGCACCGAAGTGCGATGTGCAACACAACCTGACCCGCGGGACGGTTTGCGCGGTCGGTCGCGTTCGCTGGGTCGTGTACCGCGTTTTTTTTCGTATTTTGTTTGGGACCGCACACTGCACAACATGTGTCCTGTCTCGGCTCATCGTGCATCGTCGTGCTATGTCATCATGCTTGCTCCGTCACCGTGTGGGAGCCGCGGTTGCTGGCTCGATCCCGGCGCCCCTGTGTCTTTTCCTTTGTTTTTCGTTCGGGAGCGCGCACCGCACCGTACCGCACCGCACTGCAGCTCGGGTGACGCAACGCGCCCCTGAGCATCGGCGCGGACCGCTTCGTTGCGCGCGCTAGCTCCATCACCATGTGGGAGCCGCGGTCGCAGGCTCCATCCGGCGCCTGCACATTTTTTTCTATTTTTTCGTTCGGGAGCACGCACCGCACCGTACCGCACCGCACCGCAGCTCTGGAGCATCGGAACATATTACCTCGTTGTGCATGCTAGCTCCAACACTGGGAGCCACAGTCCCTGGGTCGATCCCGGCGCCTGCACGTTTTTTTCATTCAGGACCATGACTGCACCGCGCCGCACTGCACCACATCGCACCGCGCCGCACCGCACTGTACGGCACCGTACTGCACCGCGCCGCACCGCACCGCAGCACTATGGTGCTGGCGGGGTGCAGTGCAACACGCACCGAAGCATCGACACACAATGCGCAGTTCAAGGAAAGCCGTACACGCAATCCAACACACAGTACAACACGCAATTACATGTCTTAAGCGTGTACGGCATTCCTTCCGTGGTCGAATGTCCTTGTGTCAGGTGGTGGTGCTGGTGCCGTGCACCAGTTTTCGATGGTAACGGTACCACCTTACCTTACCGATGTCCGGCTTTCACCGCTCCCATTGCAGCATACCGACTACCTAAACCAGTTCCATAGCATAGCTATGCTATGCTATGCTATGCCGTACACGCTATGCTCTGCTATGCTATGCTATGCTGCACTACGCTATGTTATGCTATGCTATGCCGTAGGCGCTATGCTATGCCGTACACGCTATGCTATGCTGTGCCGTACCCGCTATGCTATGCCGTACACGCTATGCTATGCTATGCTACACTACGCTATGCTATGCTGCGCTACGCTTTGTTATGCTATGCTATGCCGTAGGCGCTATGCTATGCCGTACACGCTATGCTATGCTGTGCCATACGCGCTATGCTATGCCGTACACGCTATGCTATGCCGTACACGCTAAGCCATACACGCCGTACGCGCCATACGCGCTATGCCGTACGCGCCGTACGCGCTGTGCCGTACACGCCATACGCCGTACGCACCATACACCGTACGCGCCATACACCGTACACCGTAAATAGAATGGGCGCAAATGGTACAGGCAACATGGAGTGACATCATGTCGTGTACTACTATGGATACGAGGATGGTGGTGATGATTCGCTGAGAGGGTGCCGGTTCGCGTCCCGTTGTCGCCGCTTTTTTTCGTTTTTTCGTTCGGCACGCCGCGTGCTATGCCGTACGCGCCATACGCCGTACGCCGTACACGCTATGCCGTCGCGTGTTCTACTTTGCGCGTGGAACTCTCCACATTAAAACTTACAGCATGACCGCGTGTAGCATGACCGCGCCGTACACACCGTACGCGCTATGCCGTGCACGCTATGCCGTATGTGCTACGCTATGCCGTACGCGATATGCTATGCTATGCCGTACGAGCTATGCTATGCTGTGCTATGCCGTACGCGCTATGCTATGCTATGCTATGCCGTATGCGCTTACGACAGCACTGTGCAACACGGAGTTCAGCGGGGGACTATGGCCCCCTCGCGGGCGAAGCAGCCCGCGTCTAGTCCGTCCGTCCGTCCGTCCGTCTGTCCCTCCGTCTGTCCACCGAGTCTTCGGTTCGATTCGACCCTCGCCGCGTTTTTTTTTTCCTGTTAATGCGACCACACGGTTTTGCGTTGTTCGTGTTTCATATCTGTCTCTCATGATCATGCGTCCGCGCATCAGCATTACAGTATGCTGCGGCACGGTGGCCAGCCGTCCAGCGATTGCACTTTGCAGGTTGCCCTTTATGCACTTAGCTTTGTTCCGTGTGCACGTTCACTTGCGCGTGTCTGACTTTGTTTTGTGCACGTCTCCGGCTGAACTTTGGGCGCTAATCGTGCCTTGCTCTTCGTCCGCAGCCTTGCTCTTCGGCAGCCAGCTGGAACGTCCACGTTTGTTGTGTGTCCGGCTTTTCGCGTTCCGCATTGGCCTTTGCGTTTCCGGGCTTTTTGCGCTCGACTTTTCGCAATAGAGCATGCTCGTAGCCGACCGCCCTGAAATCCAGCTGTCGACCGTTTGCAGTCGATAATTACGGCCCAGCGCGATGCTGGTCCATTAACTGCATCAACTGCTAGCTTGGGAGGCTAGGCTTTGCGAGATTTAGTTTGTTCCGCCTTGGACCTTGCTATACTTTGTGTTCTGGGCTTTGCAGTTCTGTATTTGTACCACGCTGCTCTTTACGCAACTCTTGTGCTTTGCGCGATACAATTCCTTGCGCATCTAGCTTCGCAAGTTGAGCTTCGCATGCTGGGCTTTGTGTAT